AAGTTAGGTAATTTTGTGATATGATGTTTAATTTCGTGATAGTGGTTAGGTAATTTCGTGAGTACACAATAATATTTAAATTTTTCTTTATTAATTAAGTATAACATCTGGTATAATATAACAAAAAATATCAACACTTGTTTTGAATTCATAACTATTCAATCAGACTTTAAGTTCATAAAATATAAATATAGTCAGGCTTATAAGTTAACAAAATTATAATAATACTTTCATTACTTTATATTTATATATATAAAAAATATACTTTTAACATAGGTAGCTTAGAAAATAAAATAACAGACCTACAAAAAACTCTTAATATAATAACTATAATATTAACCATACTTATATCTGATTAACTTATTTTTCTAAATCACATTCTTGTTGACAACATGTATCATACATAAATACTTCACCAATGTCCTCATATGTTTGACAACTCTCATGATAAGGTACTAAACAATAGGAACACTGCACCCATTTTTTTCCTTTTTTTTTTTTTACATCACTGTTGTAACTTTTTTTACAAACACTGCACTCCCAATCATCATCTTTTGAAGCATTTTTAAAAAATTTAAACCATTCCAAAAATAAGTCACTATTAATCCATCCTTTTGGAGATAATTTTACCATACAGTTTGGTAAACAATCAGCTTTAAGATTATCGTTCCATCTAACGCCTTTGAATATAATTAAAGGTGGAATCCATGATCCATTGGCACATACACATCCTAAAAGTGTATGCGTTTCTCCACGATCAGCATAAGTTCTTTTATAAACATAACGTTTACCAATAGCAGTGACTACTTTATTAGGCTTTACTACATAAGATAGTCCAGTTTCATCACAATTCCAAAGGCGGTCAGGCATATCTTTAATACCTAATTGGATCATTAATGAATCAAGTTTTGAATAAAAATCACTGATCATATGACTGTTAGCCATCGATGCCCTATAAGCAGCAAGATTTTCAGGAACTCTAAGTGTAAGATTATACCTCTTTTTGAAATTCACCCACCACCACTTGTTAGCAGATTCATTATCTTCATTTAAATAAGATCCACGTCCAGATTCGTATAGAGAAAAATATTATCTTCATTTAACTATATAGTTATGTTGTGCTTAAAACAATTTTTAATGTCATTATATTTAATAAAAGAAACATGATTAAAAATGTAAATTCATTTGAGGTGAAAACGTTAAGAAAATGTGTAACTGCGATAAGGAATCATAAGTTATAGGAAGTGAATAAAAAAACAAAAGTTTTACCATTAAATCAAGCATGTTTTCTAGTTTAATATTTAATAAAAATAATTTACTTACCTTAAAACACAAGTCTGGAAATAAAAATATTGGACAAGTACTCCAAACAAATGTGCTGAACGCACGTAAAATAATGCTAAAGAATGTACAAACTGATAGTAAACAATTGACGTATCACACGCACCCAACGACTATTTGTAAATCGACAGTAGTACCCCGGGTACCATTTGACGCAATTTCGAAATTTTTGACTAATAGGTATGTTCGCTACAAATGCCGAAAGAAATATCACGAAATTACATATATCACGAACATACCTTCCTTTACCCTACAACCATTTATGTTAATTAAAAATCAACCAATAATACAATTTAAAAAAAAAAATAAAAAAATAATTTTATTTATGTGATGATGTTATATCTTTAAGAGGTTTTGGAGGTTGAGTTGAGTTGTCACTTGCGCGGCACTTTTTAATGCAATAAAACTCAGTGTTTTTATACATTTCTTGGGAATAGATGTATGACAAAGCCAAACCTTGCATTTGGAATTTTCGGTTTGATATCATTCACTTTTTTGTTTTGCTTAAACTTTTCTAAAAACATTAGGACACTTTTATACTTGACTTAGTTTGCTACTGCTGTTGTTGTTGGAGATGGTGTTGATAAAAGATTTATCTGCTGCTCATCATCAAGGTCAAATTTACGTCAAGATTACGTTGTTTCCTAGCCTGATTTGCTTTATTTTTATTGTCACTCGATTTCCATCTTGCTGAGCGAAAACAAACCAGTCTTTTGAAACCCAGAGTGACTATTAAACTTAAACAGAATGTTTTTGCAATTTACTAAAACATTCTTTTGACAAACTGCTGAACTTTGTCTTTGCACAAAACTCTTAAAGTAATATAATATTATGTCAAATTTTAAATACCCCCCCCTACTCCCCAACATTCCCCCCCCCCCAAAAAAAAATAAATAAATAAAAAAAAACTACGCTATAAATTTAGCCAAATTTTTCGTTATTAAAGCAATGAAACTCAAAAAAAACAAAAATTGTTGACGTCAACTTTAATTGACATCCCCCCTCCCCCGTGTCAACAATTGTCAAAAAAACCCCTTCAAACAGCACAGATTACCAAACTATTATGGGTTTAATATAAAATATACTTTTCACGACTAAATACAATTAAAAGCTGGTGCCACATCATTTTATCACTCTGTGTTGTCAAATTAAAAAACTGTGTTGTGATATTATAACTCTGTGTTGCGATATTATAACTCTTTGTTGTGATATTATATAGCGTAGATTTGTTTTTTATAGCATTATTTGTTTGTTTTGTATCTAACAAAAACAAGAATGTCTTTCATGGATAAAGATTATCCAAATTTAATAGTTACCCATTTTTGGACCATAATTTTTTGTATAAATATTTATTTATAAAATTTATATTTAATTCATGACCATTCTTATACGACGAAAAATTGTCTAAAAAAACCACTACCAAATTTAAATTAGGAGAACTCTCTGTAAAGAAATTTAAAAAAATTTAATTTTAGAGGAAAGACTTAAATAGATTTTTTAATACTACTTACATTTAATACAAAAATTTGCTGCAATAGCGGGTCAGACTATGTTTACAATGCGTTTGTGCACCTTACCTAAAAGAAAAAGGGCATTGAGATTTATTGAGATAAAGAATAGATTCCTAAATAAGAAAGTAGCGAGCACGATAAAGAGATGCAACCCTATCAGATGCTTATGTTGCCATGGATTTGATTTGTGGTTTCCAAGAATATCGGAAATAATTTTCGTATCTTAAAGACAGAAACGTACCGATGGGCCCTCAGCCGTTGGGCCCAGACTTATTAGGGGCCTAAGCTAATTTTTTCAAATACATTTAATAACATTTTTACTTTTATTGTATATTTAAGAATAACAAATTCTTAGCTATACAGTATGTAACATACTTGTTTCAATTAACTTAAATCAAAATTGTATTTAAAAATAACGCCTTTTGTTTTCATGTATAATTTTTTGTTTTGTTTTGAGAGGGAGGGGAGAGAGAAATAATTTAGGATTAAAATTTTAAGGGAAGGCCTATTTTTTAAGCCACTGCTTAAAGGCCGAACAAAGATGTACATTGCCGTTCATAATTTTAGGAAGATCTTGATTGTTGTGATAACTGTTAGTTTTATTTGAGTTAAAAATTATCAGCCACGGAGAGGCAGATGGAACTTCTTTATAAAATTAATTATAGATTGGTGCAGGTTAAACATTGTTTAAAAAACGCACTAGAAGAAATAGGACGTGGCTATTTATACAAATAAAGACTTTTAAAAGCTTATGTCCTATTTAAGTAATGAAAAATGACAGTACCCCTGCAGTAAAATTGAGGCGGTTTTGCTCTTTTCTTATACTGCCAATATTGCTGGCTTTAATATTTGAATTAGTTTTAGCAATATAAGTAATTCTAAAACCAGCGGAACTATCAGTAAAAAAAGTTAGAATATCCGCATCAATTTTAATGCAAAAGTACCGACATTTTTATATACTTAAATTATTACTTAAAGCTATTATCAAATATATCAATTTTAAAATTATTATTAAGTTTTTTATCTTTAGACGAAATTGTCAACTGTCCTAAACTTATTTAATGCTCTGGCATTTTTACATTTGCAAAAAACCGATGTGTTCTGCCTACATGACTTTTAGCATTTTAATATATATAAATAAATATAAGAAGCTTTCAAATTTTTATTTTTTAAGTAAAATTTAATTTTTTTAAAAATAATATATAAAACAGTTTAATCGCAATAAAACTTAATGTCTGATTTACTATTAAGCAAAAGTTATATGAATTTAACTTTCGAACAAAAAAACTCCAAAAAAAAAATTCTCCAAAGTTTCGAATTTTTTTGTTTCGTTGTCAACGAAAATCTTAAAAAAAAAAATGGCGAATACTTTACACTTTAAAAATAATTGATATTAGCATAAATGTGATTGTGTGCAGAATATAATTTTATTTTTTTAAATATAAAATTAAATTTCATCAACTTTCAATAAACCTGAAAACTCATGAGTTTATCGTAAACATCATATATAATAACGAAGGTTGAATATAATAAAGAAATATTGAAGTAAAAAAAGAAAAAATATTGTCAAAAAATATTTCTTATTAATTTAATAAGAAAAAAGGTAATTACCGTAAAAGTATATTTAATCTAATTTTAGTATTTTATATAATTAACACTTTTTGATAATAATTATATTTTATTATTTATAGTAACAAAAGAAAAAATATATTAATATTATAATCAAAATGATCAAAATTCATGATATAATTATGAAAATATAAAAAAAAAGTTTATAAAAAAAAATTATATATTTAAACAAAGATTAATATAAATTATTATTATTTATAGTTTAATGTTATTATTATTAAAAATGTTAAAAAAATAATAATTATGAAAAACTATGTACCACAAATATAATTATATATTTATTAGTTTATGTAATTACTATTTTAACTAATATATTTTAAAAAGAACTAATTATAAATATAAATAATATTATAATATAATATTGAACTTTTTTATTTAAATCTAATATATTTAAATTATTTCGTATATTTAAAGCAAGTATTTATAGTAAATATATTTATAAAAAAATAAATTAAATAATCTAACTTTTTATTATTTTTATTATTTAAAAATAAATTAAATATTTTATTTAATATTTTATAATTATTGTTTTTATTTTATATATTTAAAATATTAAACATTTTTCTGCGTTATAAAGTTAATTCATCGAGGTTACGAAAATATTTTCCACGGTACAAGATCTTAAACTTCTTGATGTTTGAACAACGAATCCATTCACAAATGTCTTTAATGAAATCAATGTCGTCGTAAAGTGAAAGATCTAATTTTTCACAAAGATTAATCCAAGGAAGAAAATTTTCTTCAAAATCTTTTTTTGTTATTAAATAATCTGAGATCCATATCCACAACTCTTTAATCTTATCTTTCGGTTTCCATCCTTCGAAATTAATTTGGCGATTAAACCAGACATCGCGAACATTAGTTGAACATCGAATTAAAAGATTTTTTTCTTCATCACTTAAAATATTTTTATTAACATGTAACCACTTTAACTTTCTTCCAGATTTTATGTAATAATTTACGAAATAATTATCGCAAGAAGTTGCGTAAGAAGTTTTTCCATCGTTAATCGAAATCCCCCATTGTTTATTTTGTTCATCAACAATTAATTTTATTTCATCAGTGAATGACGATTGACTTTCGTAAAAACATTCGTAAAAAATTGAAATCATCAGAAGAAAAACTAAGACTTTTAGATAGACGATCTAAAGAAAAATTAAATGTGAAATATAACAATAAACAAATAAATAATAAACAAAAAATAAAATAATAATCAAAATTGTGATATTATACACATAATATTATTATTTTTCTATATACAAATATAATTAATACACTATAATTAAATAAAAAATTGAATACATTTTCATATTATTAATAAATATATTATATTTATATTATAATATAATAAACATAATTACATTAATAATAAATGAAATTATATATAAAACTTTTAAACAAAATAACTTCTTAATAAAAATTATAAAAAATATACTAATTTTATTATTTTGAACATAATTTTTAAATTAATAAATTTTATTATAAATATCGTGTTTATAATTTTTAATAACCAATAATACACATATATAAAATATATTTTTTACTTAAAATAACATAAAAAAGATTAAAAATATGTTTAACTTAGAAAAAATGCTTAATTTATTCATATTGTCATTCGAAATAAATATCATCATTTTTTTTATATAAGAAGATAAAAAGGAAAACCTGTTTTATTTATATGCAAATTTGTAAAGAACTCAATGTATTTATAAGCCGAATTTCTACAGAACTTGTTCAAATTTAGAATTTACATCGAAAATCTCCTTCGACAATCTTTTTTAAAATAAATTAATTAAATAAATATGAAAAAACGTCAAAGAGTGAGGGTTCAAATATTTGGTGATTCGATTTCGACGTCAATTTGAAACTTTGAAGAAAATCAATAAAAATTTGCAACTTTTATACAACTTATAAATTAAATTTTGATGCAATTAGCGCTTCTTGAATAAGGCTACAAAATATATATTATTAAAACATAAAAAAAAGCAACTAACGCAGCTAAGAAGAACCAATAATCTATTCAATCAAATTTAATTTTTATACAAATTATATCGAATGCATGTTTTTTGGATAGACAAATAAAATTTTGTTTTAAAATTTTGTAATTTATGTAACAGTCATTTTAAAGAAAAGTTTTAGTTTCACTATCATTTTATAAAATTAATATTTCTCTTTACGAGTGACCAAATAAACACAAGTTCTAATGAGAAAATTTAACTTACGGTGAGAACATAAAAAAAGCTACTAATAACAATAGTGTCACAGGAGTATTAAAACTTGGACGAACTGTCGATTTGCAAATTATTAAACTATATTGTGGGAATATTTTACATGTTTATTAAATCGAATAAAACGATTAAAATTAAAGTCGCTTGAAATTACAGTCTTAGAATAGAATCAGCTTATATCTTGAAATCAAATTATTATCAAAAATATTAAATTTAAATATTCTTAGCATCTTCTCTTGCATTTTTTTTGTTTAAAAAAGTTCACTGAATATATCAACAAAATAAACAAAAATGAAAAAAAAAAAACTGTTTTCATAATTATATTCAAGAGGTCATTGTCGTCGTATCGCCTTAAAACAATTCGACTTTAGTTCCAAAACATTAACTTTTTAAATGAAAAGAAAAAATTGATTATAAAACTGAAGTATACTTACAAAATTTAAAAAGTTTTGTTACCAGTGTGAATTTTAATAAAAAATGATAACAAAATGATACCGTAAAGCATTTTAAGAAAATAAATTGAAAAGTGAGTTTTATAAATTTAAAACTCGATCATCGAACTTCAAAAAATCTTTTAATAAATTCGAAAAAAACAGTAAATATTGATAACAAACTTTTCGCTTATAATATGATTTTGTAACCATCGCAACCGATTTCCAAATGCACGATAGCGGTAGCAGGTTCTTAAAACGAAAAGATTAAAACCGAAAAAACCTTATTATAATTTTACATACAACCTACTTTTTAAAATTGTTATATAATTTTTGTTCCTACAGCCCCGGATCATTGTAACTAAAATGGAAAACACTACGCCAATAAAAAATAAAAAAAATTTTATTCAACTGTATTTTTTTATCAACTGCTTTTTAAAAGATATGGTCGTTCGACTAAACAAAAAAAAAAAAATTAAAAGAGCGCCGATTTAAATGTAAATGTTTTTGATAAGATTGAACTCTTAACAAAAACTTGCTGCACTTTTTATTATATTGGCAAATATAAAATTATTTAACTGTTAAAAAAATTATTACACTAAATTGCTGAATAATAATTTTTATTTTATGTAATTAATTATATTTTATATATCAATTACTTTGATATATTAATAATATAATATTATTCACTTTTATTGTAGAATTTTTATTTGTTGTAATAATTCTTAAAATGCCTACATTCTATTACAAAAAGATAATATATAACTGTTTTCATATGCAGTAAACAACGTTCGTCTAAAGAATTTTTTCACGCTGCAATAAACGACACTTGTTAAAGTGTATGTTCTTGTAAACATGCAAACGTTTGTTAAAAAAAAAACAGAAGAAAAACGAAGGTCACTTTTCTTTAATTTTGCTTATGCAAACGTTGGCGTTTGTTTAAAATTAATAAAAACGAACGTATTACTTTAGCGTTTTTTTTTCCAAATATATTTGCGATTGATAGTTTTTTATTTAATATAAAAACACATATTTATAATAAATATAATATTTTTAAAATTACATTTTACAGTGCAGACTTCAAATTTGAATGAATTTGAGGCTGTTTTGACTACTATTGAAATGCTATTTGATAAAGACAGACCTAAATTTTAGTTCAAATATTATACTAATTTAATTTATCCTAAACAAAGTGAAGAAAGAATATTTATGCAATTGTTTTGCAAGAAACGATGTATACCACAAGGTGACTCGTAACCTCAACGCCCAACACAAGGACATCTTGACCTTGATAAACATTTGATATAACTGATAAACAATTTAATAAAGAATAAAAGAAATCAAAGATTATTAAAATGTAAACTGCAATATTTTTATAAGGGAAATTTTAATCAATTTAACCCTATATAAAAATATAAAAAATAATAATGTTAGTCTTGCTCTAAACTAAGCAGTTTTTAGTCATTTTAAGGTCCATTTTTTTGTTTTAAATATGTCATTTGAGGGCAAGGAATGAGTGATTCAATGGCGTTCAAACTTTTTACGAGTTAGTTTAATCATATTTGCTTCAAATATAGATGGTTTGGTTTTTCAAATACTAAAATTTTTTTAATGTCTAAGAGATGGTTTCCAATAACAGTAACTATGTCAAACATGAGTTGTGCATTTAAATTTAAATGAATCGGTTTTTGTTAAAAGGGCTAAGTCACAAAATACATTTTTTTAAAAATTTAAAAAAACTTAATATCAAAAAAACTTATTAAAACGATTTTTGAAAATTAATTTGAAAGTAAAAGTTACTGTTTTATAAAATTGGTAGAGTTTAATAAAGTTTAGTATTTTATTTTTAAACCACTCTTTAGAATTATTTTTAAATAAAAATATTTTAAACCATTCTTTCAGGTAGATTGACATGTGTTAAAAAGCGTTAAAAATGAATTTAACATCTAAACTTTTTTTAAGTTTTCCATCAAATTATTATTTTTCAATCAGAAGTTTACTAGTAGCATTTTTAAAAAGAATTTTAATATTCATTTTAATGAAATATAAAAAAAAAAGCGCAAAAACATGTTGCAATCTCCCCCATACATGACAAAAACCTATTTAGGATGCAAAAAATATATTTTCTCCACTGACACACACTTAACATGCATTAATCTCAAATTATACTCTTGCGTTAATAATACATGGAAGGGAAAGTTTTTTAAGTTTTTCATAACTGTCCTACACACCCCATATAAGATCTCTTATATGGGGTGTGTAGGATAATTATTAATGTTTACTTTCTTTTAGAAAAAACAATTAGATCATCACGTGAAAAAACTAAGTTTCCAAATTATTCTTTCTAAATGTAATTATAGTAATTCCTAATTTGAAATAACTTTTGATTCTTAAAAGCTTTTATAGGGTAGGTTCATCGTAATATTTTTTTACTTTGTATGAGAGTGAAGAAAATTTAACTTACTTGTTGAAGACGTTTTAAGGAATTTTAAGCAAATAAAGAAAATAAACTTTTTATTAAAAAAAAAGTAATTTTAAGATTTTTATTAAATGCTTATATAGATTATTTCAAAAACAAAACATTGAAAAAAACGCTGCAGTCTTTTTTTATAATATTTTATTTATGGAAAAAAAATTTATTTAAAAAAATTTATTTATAAAAATTATTAGCTCAAAATATAGAATTAGGTTTCTGCTTCGTTGAAAGCCTCATTGTCTGTCTCTATAGCCCCAATCACATGATTAGCCATGTCTTAGCTACAACAATGTATCTAATTTCTCAGCTGAGAAATTTAGGAGAATAGAAAATTAATATATAAGTTGCAGTCTTTTCCACATCCTTTATCTTCCTTTTGTTTCAAGTTCAGGATTTGCTTGGTCAAATCATTAAGAAGCATGATTTTCAGAACTCTTCATATCAGTAAACACTCATTGCCATTAAACATGCATGGTTTACTGCCCCAGGCTTGTGATTGTTGAGAAGCTTGAATGTTCGTTCCAAAAAAATGAGAGCTAGCTCATTAAGTTCCTGGTAGCCTTTTGTTCCTGGTAATATTGGTACTTGTTTTTACTAATAAATATTTCACATTTATTACATTAAAACTTGAACATTTTAATGGCTAGAAATATAAATCTGAAAATATTTGAAAACTGCTTCATTAACAAGTGTCATTAAAAGTTTTCTTGCCTCATCTGCTTGTTCTTTAAACTAAGACTGACAAATCTGTTGCGAATTGGTATGTTTGCTGACTGTGTCATCATTAACATCAAGATCATTTCACTTCTCTTTCAAGCCTTTAAAAAGTACATTGCTAGGTCCAATGGTATCTGCTGACCCATAATGTTCCAAGATTATTTCTAAAACTTAATCTAATAAAACTGAAATCATTACTAAACAGTTTGTTGTAATTAACTCACAGAGTTCTTCTTTTAAATTATTAAAAAAATATTTATCTTTATATAGCGACACGAATTATTCCAGTATGGCTAGCAGTAGTGTCAAAGAAAACTCCTAACATAATTAGTAATACCAAAATCGGTCAAAATCTCCTTGATAGCCTAAACTAATTTAGTCCTGTACCAGAAGGAACCCTTGAAGCACCAAGAAGGTGAGTAGTTTCTCCAGCTTTCACAAAAATGCAAATCCTAGCAACTGCCACATAAACATTTATTTACAACATGTCCTGGAATTTAGATTTGATTAATAATGTAAGGAAAATGTCTTTTCATTGTAATTATTTAATATATTAATTATAAATAAATATATACAATTAACTTGATTAACTTTCGATCAAAGTATAACTGAATTTTTATCTTATTTTGTTTGAACTTGAATTTAATTAGAACTTTAATATTATCAGCATGTTTGTTGATGTTATTTTTCATTCGAAAAGCTTAAGTATAAGAAAGAGATCACCTCCAGCTGTGGTGACAAGCTTAATCAGTGTAACTGATATTTTATGGCTGTTATATTCATGCCTATAGCTAATCTCAGTCTCTTCAATAATTTTTTTTGTTGACATCATTAGTCAATTTTTGCCTGTCAAAATTCCATATTGAACAGTGCCTGTTATTTTCTGAATTAGACTCCTGTCATTTTCTGAATTAGACTCTGTACTTGGTTTTGGAGAAAATATTCTTCTTCAGCTTAAGATATCTGTTAATATATTTTGCAATGTTTCTTTAAAAGAATTCCTATGTACAAGCAATTACTCTTCTCTTATTTGCATTTTAGAACTTTTAGACTGTAAAAAACCTTTCACATGTCTTCATTTAAAAAATTGCATTAAACACATTAAAAAAAATAATTTAACACTTTCAGTAAAAAGCAAAAACCGCCTTAAGTAAATTTATGTATTTTGATGTGATCTTCTGTATGTTTCTGAATGTAAAATACACAAATCATACTTAGTAAATTGGTTTTTTAATGTATGTAAAACCATCTGGTCTTCTGCTTATTTCCTCGCGTTGCTGAAATTACAATGATACTTTGTGATTATTTGTATACTTTAACGTTTCGTTTTATTTCAAATCTCAAGAAAAATGAAATCTTGTGAAAAGTTATAAAATTTCTTAAAGTATTGGTTGGGTGTAATTAAGGAGAAAAAATATATTTTGAAATAAATATATATTTTTTTGAAATCACTTATGATTATATATCTTTTGAGCTGTCATACATACTTTAAATGAAACATATTGTAAAACATGAACACCTCTATATCAAGAATTGTGCAAAAAATTCATGCATTTTTAAATTAAGTTTTGTTACCTGAAGAAAAATCTTTCAATAAACTCTAAATTTAAAAAAATATAGCTTAAAATACCTGTTAAAAATTTAACCTAGAAATGACTTAAACTACATCACCTTCAGCATTTATAAATAAAGCAGTAGCAAGGTGGAATTTTTTTTTTTTTTTAAACCAAAATTTTATTTTGAAATCACTCATTCTGACACATTTATTTAGGTTGAAATCATATTCTAAAAAAAATTTTTGTAAAATATGAACAGCCCTAACATATATAAAGAGACTTGCACAAACAATTTATATTTTTTAAAATTAGGTTTCGTTTCCTTAGAGATATTTGTCAATCAACTCAAAATAAGAAAATATTTAGCTCAAAACACCTAAGAAAAAACCTAAAAATGACTATAACCACATTGCAACCTTCAGTATTTATAAATCAAACAACGGTCATATATAAATATATTTACTTCTGATCAAGACTGATATATATATATAAATATAAATATAAATATATATATATATATATATATATATATATATATATATATATATATATATATATATATATATAATATATATATATATATATATATATATATATATATATATATATATATATATATATATTAGGGCTGTACCGGATTTAATTTTTTCAAATCCGGCCGAAGCCGGATTTGCCGGATTTTTACTGACAGATCCGGCCGGAATCGGAGCCGGAGCCGGATTTCAAAACAAAACTACAGGAGCCAAAATCCTGTACATCCCTACTTGGTGTTGAGCATGGTCAACAATGTGGACTATTCAGAATACCAAGTGACTGCTGTTTTCTGTTAAACTTCATTGTTGTTATTTAAAAAGTTTTATAGCAATTTCTATATATAAATTAATAGAAATTCTAAAGAAATTCTATAGTCCATATGTTTTAAAAGTTTATAGTAATTCTATTGAACTTTTTTTCCAGGATTTTGTCACTCCGCCACTGTAGTGGATCATTTTGTCTATTTATTTCTGGTTCTTTCTGATATTTCCTTAGCTGAGTTTCAATGCCTTTTAGTAATTGTTGTTTATGTGCCCTGCCACCAGTGGACGTAGACTGAATAATTTTATCAATAAATTGCCAGAGTAATGATGATGATGATGTAGAAAAATTATTAAGCCCAGCTTATTTTGGTGGATTTTCTTCAGTTTTGTCAATCTTCTGTTCAGCATGCTCAAATTGACTTCAATCTTGCTTTTTCAGCTGTCAGTGTTGCCTGTAATGAGGAGAATTTAGTTTTAAATTGTGAGTCAACCAGCCTCTTCAGTATATAGAGAGGTTTCTCTTTTCAATGCTTTTAAAACGCTCATCCAATCACTTGATTAGGGTTGACATCATAGTTTTTATACCTGCATCATTGTAGAATATTGTGTGTCTTCCCATCAGAATTTTTTGTTGCGTTGTTGTTTGAAATTAGACTAATCTTATTAAATTATAAAGAAATATAAAAACAAATACCAAAACAAATATGAGGTTTATAAAATATAGAATTACAAAAAAAAATGATTTTTATAAATAAAATATTAGGTATACATGTAAACACGGGCAAAAAAAATCAATATTTGACAAAATTCAAAACTCCGGTTAAAAATATGCTGGATTTGCTAAATTTTTGCCGGAGCCGGATTTGGGCCGGAGCCGAAATCCGGTACAACCCTAATATATATATATATATATATATATATATATATATATATATATATATATATATATATATATATATATATATATATATATATATATATATATATATATATATATATACTGTTATATAATTGTATTCTTATATAACACTCGACACTGTGTGTACACCAGGGTATCTTTTTGATGCAGTATCCCTATGTGTTATCCCAAAAGGACATTTCTCAGGGTATCCCATCAGGACAATAATTTAATACACTACAACTTAATAAAAAATATTTAAATTTTTTTCAAAAACTTGCCAAACGTTGTTAAACATACCAAATATAAAAATGCGAAGTACATCATTTAGAAAACAAAAGATATAAATCATTTGTTTTGTTTTTTATAAATCAAGTCAAATGATAAAATTATAAAACTGAAAAAAAACTTTAAAATTTAAATAAACAATTCTTTATTAATGTTTATTACAAAAGATTTAATTAAATTATTTTTTTTTTTTATTTTATCAAAAATAAAGTAAAAATAACTATATATTTTATACATTATTGAACACCTGTAATGGTTATTGAAAATAACTCACTATAATGCCACCAGGATTTTGAACTTACCCAAAATAGAATACAAAAAGATAGATTTTTCATTGGACTTTATTGAAGGATTCTTGAATAGATTCATTATAAATTGAATAAACTTTTTATAGGGACTTTTTGAAGGATTCAGATTAACAAGAAACTTTAATAAACTATTTTGACTAGCATTAGATAATCCACAAATCATTGATAAACAACTCTTCAGCTTTTCATTGGTCATAATTTCATCACTACTTAAACAATTATAAGCATATACAGATGCACAAAATTCCATTATTGTCAAATGTGCAAACTGATAATAACATCCCAGAATCGTTTCAATCCTTTCTATAAATCCAAAAAAATATTCATTTTTATCAAAGTCACCAATAAAAGTTTGAAGCTCTTCTTTTGAAAAAATTATTTTATTTACAACAAACAATTCATATGCAATTTTACAAATATTTAAAATATATGTTTTATTAGAATCGTTTTCCATTATCTGATAAATCATTTCATTGTTTTTAATGATGTGTTTTTGTAAAAAGTATAAAAAAATGTTTGCATACAAATCTGTCATTGTTAAGAAAGATATTGTACTTATTTCTTTTGAATCACTGATAATTTTACACATAGAAGATAAATAAAAAGGAACAGATGCCATAGCTTTTGCAATTGGAGATTCCTTTAAAGTTGCATTTACAATTCCTTTTTTTTCTTCCTTAACATGATTTTCTACATAATTCGCTATTCCATTTTTGTTAAACCCCATTATTTGAATGGTTAACATATCACTATGATCTTTATAAATACTTTGGTATTGATCAATTGCATAAACTCTACCAGCAACTAAATGTTTATAGTTTTGAATTTCTGCTAAAACATTAACAATTGGATATTTACATTTTAAATTTGGATTTGATAACTCATTGAAATATTTAAACTCATCTAACCCATCAATTAGAAACAGTGCAGTGGTAATACTAATATTTAAGTTACTTATAATATCTTTGTAGAAAACGCTTAGTAAATCATTTATACTAAAAATATTTTCATATTGATTAATCCTCCTGCATTCTAAATAAAAAACAAGTTCAACATTTTTCCAAATTAAATCATTTGACCAATCAAGCAAACATTTTCTAAGCAACCATGTTTTCCCAATACCAGCAATTCCAGATACTAATATTACCGATTTTTCGTTCATAAATAGTTCACTATATGGAATTGGTGTATAACGCATTTGCTTTTCAAGAAATTCTTTTCGTTCAACACTAAAAACAGCATCCATTTGTGGCTTCGCTGCATCAACAATACATAGATCAACGAATTTATTCATTAGATCAACATTTGCAGGTGCTTTTAATAGTAGTTGAAGTTCACTAATTTTCCCATAATATTTAAGATAAAATTGTTTAAGTTCAGCAGACATTCTTGACAAATCTAAATAAAACAAAACAATGTTTAGTAAAGCCATCATTATGATTTTACTGATATTCATGCTCATGACAATGACATTCATTATTACTATAACTTTATATAAACATAAAATAGCAATAAATATGTACTTGACGTAAAATTTTGTAGAAAAATTAAGGAATCTAAAAAATTCTTGTTAATTTGATTTTTATTGATTTAAGAATTAAGTTTTGTAGAACTAAATTTATCATTTATAACAAACTTTTTTATTTGAAAAAGTTTTTGCTTAAAGTTATTACTTCAAACAAAATCATCAACTGATTTTCAAAAACTTTAAAAAAAAAGTATGACACTTTCGATAAAATTATTAATAAAGAAAAAATATTTTTATTTGAAATTTATTAAAGGTTAAAGTTAAACAACTTAACAAAGTTAACAAACCTTTTTTTTTCTTAAAGTTTGAAGTCTTTTCAAAACAATAACATCAAAAAATAATGTAAAAGTAAAGTACTAAAATTTCCTAACATAAAAATTCTAGTGAGTAAATAAGTAAAATTATTTTTATCAATTTGAATTTTAATAATAGTAATTAAAATTAAAGTGAAAAACATTGAGATGTTTTGAAGAAAGTTTCATATGAAGATGCTTCTCTTTATAAAGCCTGCAGAGATGAAAAAAAGTTGCATACCTAAAGGTTGGGGCAATTGAGAAGCCTCATGAAGTTGTAAGCTTTCTCAAAAAAAGGAACAAAAAAAAAGGCTAAAGGATATTAATGTTCTTTGTTTATGAAAACAAAATACCATTCGATTTGTCTAAAGCTGTTTGTGATGTGCTCTCATTTCTAGTTTCTGCAGCAACTAATAAACTATGCATTAATGACAACAGCAGCAAAGTTCGACTTTATTAAGATTTACTATTTGAGTTAGGAAAATGAATAAAGTTTGTTTGTTTTCACACGCAATTGGATCATAGTCTAATAAGTGACATAATGAAAATAGTGAAAAATAGAAAATATGTAACCCTAATGGTTAGAACTCTGAATCCTCTGTTTGTAATGCAAAACCTTATTTCCAAAATTTATTGATCACACTCTTCTTGTTATTTAAATAAACAGGTTACAGTTAGAGATACTCACCATTCCTCATTATTAACTGCAATAAGTGAAATCATTCTTTCTTCTGTTGCTATAAAAAAAGTTATTATTCACTATAACTCCTCGGCAGCTTAAAGTCTGGACAGCATTGTGAATGATTTTAAAGATTAAACTAACTTTAGAATATTTCGATTAATTTTAAGCAAAATTAATGATGATTGATAGCAGAAGGAGAGAGTCTGAAGGAGAAGAAGCTAAAGTATAACTACAAATTTTTTAATAATTATAATTTTTAAGTTATTCTGTTTTTTTCAGAATTGAATAATAACAATATAAATGATAAGAAAAATTTAAAAGTATTAAATAACAAAAAAGTTTAAAACATAAATAATGTTGAAGACTTAATTATACACAATTAGTCGTTCTGGGATTAAAATAAATACATATACAACTGTTTGCCTACATCGTGAATACATTCACTTAAAGTATTACTCCACATTTCACATAACTTGCTGTGATTTATTTAATTTACAAATGTCTGATGTTGAAGGGTCTGGTGCTACCTCTAAAAATATTTTTTAGTGAGAAATTTTTTTATAACCTAGTACTATTTTATTAAATTGAAAAAATAAAGGGTACCAATAAAACCAATACTTTTCAAACTAATAAAATAATACTTACCCAATAATATACTCTATACTGCTCTTTTTAATTTTACATCAGACTACTTTTTTAACCACACTTTTCAGCAGGTTTTCATGAAATTATTAAAAACAAATATAAAAACCTTTCTTTTTGTTTTGATCTTTTTTCTAAAAATATAAAACATTCAAAAATGAAGGGAGTCCTAAACTTATCTTTTAAGTTGTAAACTAATGACATAATGACAATAAAATTTAGAAAAATTAGTCTCAAAAAAATGCATCAATTGTCTGTTCCTTAATCTTAATTTGATGAGCAATGCAAAATCATAAAAAAATTTTTTTTTTCTTCTAAAATAAAAAGGTATGATGGAAAATACATGTGTTGCTATAGTGATGGACCAATGGATAAGGAGATTAAATGACCTTTAGATCACTAGCAGTTTAATTCAAAGGCTTGATAATAACCTCCTATACAGATTCAATATTATTGAAATTTTACTAATCAAATGTTGTGAAAATGTTACAATCAAACAATTACAATGCCTGCTACATATAAAACCGACTGCAGAAATTATCAACATAAATTTACTATTTGAATACCATATTTATGAACATCATGTAAAATTATTAATCTCCTTTCTTTCACAATAAAAATATGAACAAGTTTTAAGAAAATAAAAGAAAACTGTTAACAGACATGGCTTTAATGGTGGTGGTTTTGACAGACCTAACAGGCCAAAGTTTTAAGATCTTTGAACATAGTTCTTGAAAAAAAAAATTTTTTTTTCAATTGACCAGACTACCAGTCTACATTTGATTAAGAGACAAGAATATGTTAATACTACTATTTTAGCAAGTTATTACTTGGTTAACTTTTGTTTGATTTAGTTGCTGAATGCTGTTTTGAGATGAAACTTGATAAATCCTACACAGAGGAAATAAATTAGTTTGCTCTGTCCATGCATCACTTTAAAGTAGATGTACATGATGTATTTGTAAAAAAGAATTTACTTGAAATAGAAGATTTCACTTGGATGAAAGTTTCAAATAATCCGGTTTTATATCAAGGATCTTGATAGGCAGAAGGTCTTACTTGCTGTTACATCAGTACAAATACGGTAGTGGTGTAGTGGTAGAGCGCTCGCTTCATAAATGAGTGGTTCCGAGTTCAATCCCCAACACGTCCCTAGTAGTACAGCGCTCAACTCGTTTCTCTGCGCAGCGGCCTTGTTTATCAAAGTTCGCGTTTCGAAGTTGAAAGAGGGTTATAACCACAAATAAGTAGCCTCCTCATCTGTAGTAGTCTTCTCGGTCTTGAGGAGGTGAATTAAATTTAAAAAAAAAAAAAAAACATCTGTAGAAGTGCATAAAAATCTTCAAAAAAGACACAGAACAGATTTTTGTGTCCAATAAAAATATCTATCACAGTGAAAAGTTAAGAGCTAAGGTTGCTATGGTTGCTGAATGCAATTGTAATAAGAATTTAAAAGAATATATTTAGATTGTAAAAATACAATATGAATGTTTTTTGTATCATGAAGAAAATATTTTGCACTCATTTTTGATATGAAGAAAAATGCAACAATAATTTATAATTAAGCTATTAACATTAATTTAAATAAATAGATTTTGATGAAAACTCAGCAATTGGAACACGGGGCAGAAATATTTATAAATAACCCCTACTACATCCACAAAAAAAAAAACTTGAATCCAATAATTAAAATTTGCTTTTAAATTTTATTATATAAATATGGCACGTACCACAGAATTATAATATAAATATGGAATATATCGCAGAAATCATTATATAAACATGGTACGCACCGCAGAAACACCAAAAAAAGAACATCTCAATTAGAGTTGCAAAAAAAAACGTTTATTTTTAATTGTGTTTTTTTTGCAAAAAAAAACATGTTTTTTTTGTGTTTTTTATGGTTTTTTTTGTTTTTTAGATTAAAAAAAAAATTATTTACTTTTATTTAATTTTTATTTTTATTATAAATGTAATATAATATATATTAATAACCTGATATATGGTAAATATATAGTACATCATTTAAAAGATTTATTTTTAATTAATAACAGATTCTGTATTCTGGCTTTCTTGTTCATTAAGGTCTTCTATTGTAAAGTCAAATCCGTATTCTTCAGAGTCGCTTGATAACTCTGACTCTAAACTCTTGTACTCTCCTAAAATGTAGGATGCAATTTTATTTTTCTGAGTTGTGAATGGAACTCTTGTTGAAGAATACAATTGTTTTAAGGGAGGCTTATCTGATTTGGTTTTATTTGCCTTACAGTCTCCAAACTTAGGGGTTGTAGACCTACTTTGGTTTCCAAAACAGCTTGATGTTGGAAAGAAAGACTCAATTGGAACTTGTGGAATAGCAGATGATAAACATATTTTTTTCTCTTTTTTCATATCTTGAATAGGTAAGTTTTCAGGAATATCTTCTTCCATCATTAGTTCAGTTTGAACTTTCTTCTGTTTAAAAGGCATATCGTTCAAGTATTTGTTTTTTATTTGATCGCCACATTTCATACATTTTGCAATGTGCTCAGTCATTCGAGTGCCATTTTTTGATAGCTTTAAGCTCCAAAATTTGCATATAACTTGTTGAATTTTAGAACCTCCAGATTCTAAAGGTGCCTCATTGAACAATGTAGCTACAAAACATTTCTTTCTGCCTGGCATATTTTTTTTTAGATTTCTTTTTTTTTTTTAATTAAAAATAATTAATAGATTACAAATTGTTTAATATAAATGTTTTTTCATTAGACAAAGTTAATCATTGTGTTATTTTTATTTACTTGAATATTGTTTGAATAAATAAAATTTTAGCTATCTAATTGCAATTTAAAATAAAATAAAGAAATTAAATATTAAAAACTTAAAAAAGTAATATACAAAAGTAAATAAACATTAAAGTAAATTTTATTTAACAGTTGCTTCATTTTTGTATTTTGCAATGCAGTGTTATTTCATTCATTTTTATGAATGAAATAACACTGCTAAAATAACATTTTTATTTCCTTCATTCAGTAGTATTATACTTACAATCAACTAGTAGCTAATAGTATAGTTTTTTTGAGATTTATTTAAAAAATTACTTTTTTAAATATTTAATACTGGTTTTTTTTTAATATTGGTGATTAGTTTGTAACAGTTATTATATAAGTTAATATGCATTTTATTAAATAGAAAACATTTGTATTTTGTAGGTTTAAGGGCACTGGAACTGTTTCAAGAATTATTATTATCTAAAATTTAATGAATACTAAAA